CTGAGCATGGAGGAGCATTTGGGGTGGTGGAGCCTTTGGGGGCCAAACTGCTTCACAAAGATTGAGCTGGCTCTAGAGGGCTCAGATGAGTTGGTGGGAAGGGAATGGTGACCAACGGGCTCATCTCCGCCGAGCAGGCTTAAAGCCAAAGCTGGCTGGAGACTGGGTCACCTCTCGAGATGCTCAGAGCAGTCCTAAGCCACCGAGCCCGCGGGCATCTCCGAGGAGGGGTGGGCTACGCAGGGGTCAGGGAGATGCACCAGCAAACCATCTTTCCTGCAGACCAGCTCTCCTGCCCTTGCAGCCGGGAGCGAAGCCGTGCTCCCGCTCCAGCCTGGCAGCGCTGCCAAGGAACTGCTGCTTCTCCCCTTGGCTCAGATATTTCCCCCCACACAAGGGCCCCGAGGGAGAGGCGCCCGCCTGGAGGGGAGAATGTTTCGGGTGCACGGCATGGGGGGGGGTCAGCAATAAGCCCCCTCCTCCGCTCAGTGATACGGAGAAGGGGAAGATTTAAAAAAAAAAAAAAAAGCTGAGGCCAGGAAGGAGGTGGGAAGTCCTCCCTTCTCTGTTTTTGCTATTAAGAGTCACTGTTGCCCTTTGTTCTTTGAGCAGCAGTAGTCTGGACAGTTTGGAGTAGCAGTTTCATGTGTTAAACTTTCCTGGTAAATGGCTTGTAACAACATATACCGATGGATCTGTCGGCTACGAAGACGGGGTGCAGCACGTGCTTATGGAGGGGCTGGGGGCCAACTCCATCACCCATGCCGAGAGCAGCCAGCCCCTTCACTGGCCTTCATCGCCTGCAGCCCGGCTTGGCACCGGCAGATCACCCACAGGCTCCTGTTTGGCTTTTAAAATCTAAAGTTGGTTTGCTAGAAGCAAATTTGGGGAAAGAGGGGCCGGACTGGGGGAGGGTATTGCCGGGAGGGACCTTCAGCTTCAGACACGGGTTTAAGCACCGCAGCAAGGGCCGAAGGAAGGAAGGATGTTCATTCCGTACTATAAACGGGGAGAAATTAAGGCTGTGCAGGAAACGCTGAGCAGCTCCGATTGCCACGCACTCGCCCTCGCCCCCCCAGGGACATCCACGCGTGCACGAGCAAACCCGGCCGTGACACCCGGCCGTGACAGCCGGCCTGGGGAGGAGGCAGGGAGGAGGTTTGCTGGCGCAGCCATGGGGTGCCCGCACGGGGAAAGGGGCTCCCGGAGCTGCTGCACGGCGGCAGGGAGGACCCTTGCCCTTCCCCTCTCCCCCCTTTCCTCTTGCTTTTAAGGGCGGATTCTGTATTTACCGTCGCTCCTGCAAGGGGGGAAAGCCCCCCCAGCCTTTCCGCCCACAATGCACGCATCCTGGTTTCCATTTAAAGGAGGGACTGGAAACCATTTTCTATCCTGTCCAGTTTTTCCTCGGGAGCATGTGGAACGTATTAAGCTTTTCCAGGAGGGTCAAATGGGTTTTGCCTTGCAACTTGCAGAGTTTTCAACCGCGCAGGCTGAGATCTGGCAAAACAGTCCTGCCTGCCCGCCCCTGCCGCCTGTCACGAGCCCCAGCGTCACGCCGGCACAGCCGGGATGGAAGGACAATGTTTCGGCTGTAATGAAAGCACAGAGGTAAAAGCCAGAGTGCACAAATTTATTTACAAAAAATTCAAATTACAATATAATACAGGAACTTTTTACACACAGAATATTAGAATGGTTTACTACCAGAAGGTAAAGAAAAATATTTTTTGTTTCTGTTTTGTTTTTTTTTTTTTAATAAACCACCTATTTATTTTCAGCTATTGTTATACAAAGTTGCAGAACATGCACATCTTTACAGGGTTTCTTTCTTTTAATATAATGTTTTGCTAAGTGCAAATACTAAGTTTCTCTCTCCACCTTTAAGGCAAGTAAAATGGGACACTGCAATTAACCATAAGAAGTACCTGTTACGGGATCAGCCTGGGCACAGCAACCTCCCTGTCGCCTTTCAGAGGACAAATGGTTTCAAGGACTGCGAGGCGGGAGGGACAACGGGATGCAGGAGTTAGAGACCGGATCACGGGTGGCTCTGGTGGCCGTGCAGTAAGTTTTGGGGTTTTTTTGGTTTTTGGGTTTTTTTTTGCTTTTTTTAAATACATCAACACAGACCCAAGCACCATCAGAAACCACAGCTCAAGGTCTCTTGGCTTAGAGGGGAGGAGCAGCCACGTGTTTTGGCTGCAGAACAGTTTTTGGTGAAACGGGTGTTTCCTTGGTGAGAGAATGGGGGGCTACCCCCGCCGCGGGGGGCGGCGGGGCGCGGTGCCCCGCCGTACCACAGAGCAAGCACCGGTTTCTCTTCTCAGACACAAATAAGCCCGTGGTTTTGCAGGGGACGCGGGGACAGCGGTCCTCTCCCCCCCCCTGCCTCTACCGGGCTCCTCCAGGACCACGACCATTGCGCCACAGCAGCAGAAGACGCTCACATCCTAACCACGAGGACGGACCGTGGACACCAACCTCCCCTCCCCTTGCCACCTCTGCCTGACGCTTCTCCATCCCTCTTGCTCCGTATCTCTGCACTTCCCTCTGCCAAGGCTTAGCTCTTTACACCCACGCACCTCTAGACATGCACTAAAAGATGGGATCGGACCGTAATTTTTGCCAGGGCTCCCAGCCCCGCAGCTCCGCGGGACACGAAGAGGTCACGCCATGGTTGCTTCGTCATTT